GTTTGCTTCGGCTAATTGAGCATTCTCCTTCATATGGAACAAGGAAAAACTTGCCTATGCATATGGGATATAACATCAGCGTTTTTTTTTCGTATTGATTCGGCCGTTTCTTGATGGAAATCCACAAAATTCTCAAACAAACGACATGTTTCGCTAACAAAGAAGCTTCGTCAGGTGATATACCTACTGGTACAAAGAACTCAACTAATCTTGGTTTCCTTAACTTTTATATCTATTATTTCAAAGGTCATGGGGCAAGGTGTCAACATTGAGCTTATGGAATACCTGGAACATTCAGGTATTATCACAATAGGCAATATTATGGCTTTCGCCATCAGAGATCAACTGGTGACCTGCTCGCTTACGTCTCACATATATGGGAGCAATCTATTGAAAAATATGGTGAAACCTAAGCCGTGGCACTTGATATCTCCAAGGCATTCGATCGAGTCTGGCACCACGGACTCCTCGCCAAGCTCCCATCTTATGGCTTGCCTCCCCAGCTATGTTCTCTGCTAGCTACTTTTCTCTCAAATAGATCTCTCCATGTAGTGGTCGACGGAGTTCCATCTGACTCTCTCATCATAAATGCTGATGTTCCGCAAGGACCAATTCAAGCACCAACACTATCTCTTTGTTGGAAGCAACTTCATGTTCAGTACGCAGCTCCGCGGATGATAGTATTCTCCATACTGCCTTCTCTTCCAGGGCTCCAATACCAGCCAGGCAAATCAGAAACGAACGAGGGAGAAATGTTGACATCATAAATATGGACTTGGCAGAAATTCTCGAATGGGGATACAATAACTCGGGTAGATTTCAATTCAATAAAAAACACAAGCATGCCTTTTCTCTAGAAACGCCGATCTCACTGTGCCCAACATAAGCTTGTCAGGAGTAGCCATACCTTTGAAGACATCCATTTCGATGCTTGGTATTACTATTAGCAATAACCTTCTTTGGGAAAATCACGTGAGATCAATTGCTAAAAGTGCATCCCAAAAACTAGGTTTTCTGTTTCGGGCCAGGAGCTATTTCACTTCCAGTCAGCTGCTTAGGATCTATAACGCATAGATCCGACGTGTCCTGGAATACTGTATCCATATTTGGAGTGCAGCACCCAAACATACCCTGAAACTGTTGGATTCTGTCCAAAAAAAGGGCAATTCGTCTCGTGAGTGATGCCTCGCTCACAAACTCTTGGCGATCTGGCTCTATTTCATAGATATTCTCATGGACGATGCTCTTCTGAAATATCAACAATTGTTCCTCCTTCGTTAGTCCCCGCGAGATTAACCCATCGAGTTGAGGCTTCGCACCTCTTCATGGTCACTTTGGGGACCTGCAGAAAATCTCTTTCCAAAGACTCGTTCATCGAATGAACAGCGAGGCTCTGGAACACATTGCCGAGGGAGGTGTTCCCCAAGGCATATTACCCCCAGAAATTCGAGAAGAACACCAATCCCTAGCCTATTTCCCTTGTTTCTCACGATGTTCTCTGATCATTACAGGATATCCCTTTTCGTGAGAGCCAGAACATAAAAAAAAAGGATGTGGTGGTCAGTGAACCGAAACTAGGAGCGTGGTTTCCTGAGAAGATATATGAATTCTTGGAGTGATATTATAAGTGAAGCTATCATTATAGAGGCAACCAAGACCAACGCTTGATGATCATCAAACGAAACAGTTTTAAACAACCCACTGGAGTACCGAACGCATTCAAATTCGACAAAGGGTGTATCATCGAGGGTTGGGGCGCAATCATTTCCGCCCCAATAAGCGCCGACTGTGCAGTCATGTATTTTGCGTAATGACGTTAAGACCGTATGAAAGTTTTGTGCGGGGCATCGGTTAAATGCCTGGAAAATTTTGCCGCATGAGCGCTATTTCCATCGAAATAATCAATAAATCATGCAAATTCGCGGTCCTATTCACCTGTGTAAGCCGAGCATAAAAATGCTGATAAAGTCTGTGGGAAATAATGGATGTGTGATTGGAGAGGCGCATCAGGGGTGGCCTGACAACGATTCTAAATTGTTTTATCTACCTATGATTCTAGTTTTTTATGTATCGATTCATAAATTTCTGATATCATAATGATAAACAGTGGGAGTTTCCGAGCTAGGTCACTCCCCACCACTTTAGGCACACGTGACATTTAACAAATGACAGCTGTCGAGTGGCCGATGACCTCTTTGGATATCAGGACATTTTTTCAATGTCATTGAACAGTAAGACAGGTGACACGTGACATGATAGATGATATATGCCATAATAGATGCAATATATAATAAATGCCACATGGCAGGTTGCATAATGTCAGACCCAACCATATATCTATTACTTTATATATGGCGCATGGCCTTTACGATATCTCAACAAAAATGGGACCAGAATGAGAGGTACTTTTTGAATCTATGAGGACGCAAAGTGAAGGATGGAAACTGCTGACGTGAGGATCAGATTTTAAGTTAGGTAAGGTTTGTTAATAATTATTCGATCATAAAAAAATATTGAAAATCATCAATTGTTGATAATATCCCTAACGATTGAAGCCATAAGTTCATTCGTTCAGGGTTTTTTGGGAGTCTAAAATATAATGTAAATAGGTGTGTATACCTTGTGCAGGTCAATGAATGAACAAGAAATTTTGACAATTCAAACTCATTTATGAAAAGCGGATTCCTGTCTGTTCTTTTCTCCGCAAATACTGCATTTCGTTCCACTAAACATGGTTTAAGAAGTTCAGTCTATGAAAAATAATCAAAAACACAAACACTAAAGAATTGTACAACTAAAAACGCAAATATTCGAATTTCAATCACAATCACTCACGTACCCGCTAAAACCAATTTAAGAATTTGAAATTCGTAGCCATATTGGTTCAACAAGTTTCGTATTATTTTTTCCTTACGTCGGCATCAACGCCTATTGGTCGATTTCGTAACCTATGGTCCCGCTCTGAGGACAACTATGCTCCATATAAAAATAGATATATGGACCCAACATACATTTATGACGTCATTATCATTTGAGTTACTCTCAATTGTTTCAGATCGAGGCTCGAGCGTTAAATATTCTGAAGCGAATAAAATTTATCAAAAACAGGCATGCAATACTACGTTTTATTCACAATGACATTTATTGAGAATCATAAACGCCGAAATATTCTATCAAACAATGATTTGATATTGTGCTCTGACAGCTGCTGTCATCTCCTCAAGATCATTGAAATTTTGCACAAAAATATCAAGGAGTGATGAAAAGTTGTTATTCATTTTTGATTGTTTATTCACTTCAATAATTCTTGAAATTTGGAGAGTTTGTCAAAAATGCATAAAAATAGTTCTGTACACCTGATATAACCCTTCAAGAATCCAAAGCAGCAGTACCGAAATTATAGCTTTCCTAGTCAAGAAAACATATTGTCACAAATGATGAACCTATTTGTGGTATTGCGAAAGCTATACAAGAGAGAAGTACAAATTCATGGATGATAAGATATCATCAAAAAACCATCATCAACATTCACAAAATATCTACTGAGCCAGAAACGAAGTTCAACTAGTATACTAGTTGAACGTCACACAGAGCATTGTATGCTCTACAAACATATTAGTAGGATAGGTCTGGCTGAAGAACTGCTGAGCAGGTTTATTCAGGAAGAGGAAACAACAGCAGTACACATACTTTGCCACTGTGAGGGCTCGTCAAGACTGATGTTTCTTCAACTGACAAGGATCAATCACGAGCTATGCAATCTAATAGAGGATGTAAGCTGATGGTCAAAGAACTCTAAACGATTTCGAGGGCCACCTCTTCAACCGAAAAGATCCGAAATCGTTCGCCGAAATAATTCAGATTAACCTATAGGTGGGGAATGAATCTACGACTGAATGAGATAGCCACATCTACCAATAGTCTGCAGTTTTTTCTCACGCCATTTATTGAGTTACAGCAGGACGTGGATGAGATGACCTACACCTGATAGCGCAACTATTATACCTTAGAGAAATATGTGAATTAAATGTATTTCATCCAGTTACATGATATTCCTTCAATGTTTTTATTATAGTTATCAATCCATTCGATCATTTTTCAATTTTGGGAAGGTTCTTGTTTGTTTTTGATCTTTTGCCAAGGTCTTTTGTAATATCTTGTATTTTGACAATACACTGTCCTCAGTCTCAGTGGTCTCAATCACCCAATCATTCTACGTCTTACTGGCAAAAAATTGTGATGTCGTTAGGACAACCCAACAACTGATAAATGTTGTTTTATGTCTGATGGAACATCGGATCGGTCATCATTAGGGTGAGGATTATGAATTCTTCTGAATTATGTAATAACAGATTTCGTGAATGAATTATTATCAGATGAGAGATTTATATCCAATTCTCATCAAAAGATCCGACAATGTCCGTCAATATTCAGAGTTGTAAAATTTTTAGCCATCTTCAATTTTATAATAATGAGGATGATGGAAAGCCCTTATTTCGAGTGACAACGGAAAATGAAAAAACTCCACCACCCCGCGTGGGAGTCGAACTCACAACCTCTGCGTTACATGTCCAATAACGCTCTGCCAATTGAGCTAACGGGACATCCGTCGATCAATCGACAGGACGGTCGAGTTCTCATCACACACCAGGCGGCAGAATCCCTCTAAATCCCAAAGTCACTTGAAATCATGCACTATATGAAGAATCGCTCGCAGGATGGTACAATACAGTCTCCATTTTACCCGTTCGTCCTCTGGCATTGTCTTTTCTTGTATGCTGAAAGGTCCGCAAGCAATCTTTATATATATCCTGTAACCTAGAGATTGTGAGTTCAAATCTCACGAGGGGCGATGGAGTTCTTTCATTTTCCGTTGTCACTTTTCATCATATTCATTATTATATGTAACTTTTCGGTCGAGTAAACGACAGAAATCATCACTCATTTCTATGTACCTCCAATTTTGGCAACACTGGCTTCATACAATTCAAGATACTCACTGTCCAGCCACTTGGAGTCGTACTTCAGCGTCCTCTTGAAACTATACTCCTTCCTGCCCGTCGTCAGGTTGTGCAGGTCCGTCCTGAAGATTACGGTGTCGGCCTTGGTGAACTCCGCGTTTGTGCCCGAATAGAGGCCCGCCAGGTCTCCAGGGTTGCCACGTTCCACCCACACGGCCGTGGAGTTGTCGGCCGGATCGTAGGGGCATTTCGCGATGCCCATACCGATGCCCGGGACGAAGGTGTTTCGCGCAAGATGGGTCAAATTCGACTGAAAACGAAAACAAAATTGAAATCAATGATAAAAATGATGATGAAAATGATAATAATAATAGTATAAGGTAGCCTATGGAGTTAGTCACAAAGCCTACAAAGTACACCCACTGGCTGAAGGACCTTGAGTAAGGTCGATAGTCAGTTGGTGTGTGTACACACACACACACACACACACACCTTCTTACACCAAAAAGGAGCATTATTCGAATATACAGGGTGATTCATAAAATGTAAAACGCACTCCAAAAAGTGGAAGATTAATCAATGAGAAGATCCTGTGATCATTTGATTGCCAACTTCACCAATTGTCACTGAGAACTGAAAAATGTCAAGACAAATACGAATTAGCTATTCAAATATCAATCTTTCATGTTGAAAACGGGAGCAGATTCGTTCCGAAACGTCCAAAGCTAAGTGGAAATTTGATATTTTTTCTATATACCTTTATTTCTCTTCTCCAAACCTTCTCCGATACAAATCGTCACTGACAGGCTAGTGATTTTTTTTTAGTCGCTCTGATAGGAATAGTATATTGTGCAACAACTGGGAAAAGTTCAACTTTTCTCACGAGTGTCGAAGTTTGTGGCACGAGTCTGAAGGGCGAGTGATGCAAACACACAATAGAAAAGAGTGCTTTTTTCCACATGTTGTACACTATACTCTACAACTGCACTTATTCAAAGAATCCGAGTAATGTAGCCTAATGGTTCCGCAAAGTATTCCAAAAAGGTACACTTTCCGAAAAAAATTTTATTTCTGTTTTTTTTTCAGATTCCACAAATTCTTCGTTTACGCCAACTCATACTTTATTCTTGAAATTTCCGGAAACTTTCGCAGCTTCTTCCGTTATCTCTGTCTCTGACGGTGTATTTTTCAAAATCGTCAAATCTCGGTAAAAAAATCAAATTATTCATTATGAATTGTTGGAATAATATTTGAAGGAAACTGCGATTTCTATCAAAATCACTGATGAGAAGTACCCTAAATAATTAAAAAAACTTCTTCTGACAGTGGTGACAACTATTCAAAGCTGAACAGCAGCCAAGTTTTGGTCGATTTTTGTTGATTCTCCATGGAAATGTATGTGGTGTTGGCAAAGTGCCTTGAGAAAAAATATTTCTCACAGTATGAGCAATACATGGTTTTGAAACTGAGTTAACTATGAGAAATACGCTACTTTTCATAGCAGTAGTGGAAAAAATTCTTTCTTCTACAAGAGAGCGTGATTCACCCTATACCCGCACGCAATTTAGTTTGGGAAGTGTCATTTTCCAGCAACAGTGCGGGGAAAACAAAGATATGATATATAATATAGACTGCTTGCCCGAACTCCGCTTCGCGTCGTTCGTGTCAACGAAGTCGCGTACGGGAAAGAATCACTTTCCCCACTTGTTAGGAAAATTACTATAAACGCAGTGACAATTTGGGGAAAATCATCTGATTCGTCCTCACTACACGTATATTGGAATAATTTCCACATTTTCATTTTATGAAAACGAGGAGAGAAAATCCCAAAAAATCTCGAATAATGAATGTACCACCTCTCCGATTAACCTACAGACAGTATTGAGACAATTCATTTGTTAATTGGTTCTTCTTCGATGATCTTCAAATACCGAAACGAATCGATCACCAACTTATAGCCAAGTGGACTCTCCTTCCTAATCCCTTTCGTTTGCACAGGCCATATCCACTGAAGGTAAAGTATCTCAAAGAGATTTGTTATATCTACTCGTTCCGACAGCTAGATTCATTGAATTGGTATGAGGAAACGGTCGCATTGGAAATTGGGAAATGGAAATATGGAGAGGGTGCGAGGTATAAGCGTTATGAACCCAATAATAGCGGATGAAATGATGGGATTAAGAAAAGCGAAACACGTGGGAGGAACTGATGTGTTGTGCTATCAGTGGCGTACAAATATCGAGGCAAATTTTCTACTGAATGAGGAGTTAAACCGGAAGAAAGTGATTTCATCACCCACCAAATAAGCCTACTTTCAGCGATTAATTTGAAAAAATGTCACTTTTGACATGTAGCGAAAGTCACGTGACCCCGATTGAGTAGGACATCTTTCATCTCTTTTGAAGCAAAACTTAACGTACAATTCCAATTTCAAAATAAGTCATTAATAAAAGTCATATGATGCCGACTTTATGAATGACACTGTATATAAAGAGATACATCGAGAATTCGCATTCTCCATGTGACGAAAATATTGATCCTGGTTTATTCAACAGAAAACAACTATTTTCCTGGCTATATGAACCGTTGAAGTTGAAAATGAGTACATTTTACAAGTGAAATTTCACGAGTTCTCATTTGGATCATCAATGAATTGACATAGAAAATATGATGTAAATATTCGAAGTAACAGAGTGCCAGTAGCGACCTTTATGAGAAATCACAAAATAAGTTGTTATGTTATGTTAGAAAACCTAGATTTACAAGATTTTATGTTCATGCTGTTGAAACTAACAAAGTTATTGTGAAATTTTGATATAAAATCTCCCCCTAGAACACCCTGTATCTCCTAAGGCAGCAACATTCTTATCAGGCATATTAGGCTGCATACCATTATTTTTGTGATTACTATCTGTAGTTCAGAGCTTTATCATTCTTAATGAATCACCCTGTATACTTCTTGAAGGCAACCTTTCTTCAAATGCAACTATACCTAACCGTGATCACCTTTTGAGCTCACGCATCCCACTAATCATGTGATGTTACAGAATATTGCCGCAATATATTGTGGACCTTCCTTCCGGAATATGGAAATACAATATTGTATCAACGTTGCTGCTATATTCGTGTTGTCAATATAACAGAAAAACCTACTGACAAATTGTTTTTAAGTTACAAAATGCCCCTTTCATTTCATTCGCAATAGTAATATTGCATCAACTATATATTCTTATTGAAATTGCAATATTACATTGATTAACTACGCATTATATCAGTGCAATGTTACATATGGAACTATCAGTGATTTTTCAATTGTAATGTTGCATTGAGATTGATACTACCTTGAGTTCGCAAATAACATAAGCTAACTACAAACAATATAGATGAAACTTATGAGATGCAACACATGTTCTATTTTAAATTGTATTATAGCTGGAATATGCAAAATGCTACATTGTGAATCGATCAAGAGACACGCAGGCGCAAACTTGCATTCGACAAACGCAAGCATCTCTACTTCTTCTTTTCATCCATGCTGCGATAACCCCAATAGAAATCAGCCTGTATAGTAGAGAAATTACGGATAACAGCCTAAAATTAAACTGCGAGTATCATTATGATTTCCTCTTTCTGGCAGATATATCAATTCAGCAAGGATCAACAGAGCGGAGATATTATTAATTTATTCACTCGAATGAACTTCAATTTGAGTAGCTAAGTTCAATAAATATTAAATTCGAGCAAAACAAACGCAATTTTCCTGTATTAACCAGTCTGTTGGTTTCCGGTTGGTATGATATTAGTTTCCCCCATCAGACGCTTGTTCTGTCAATATTCGCTGTAACAGAATGATTTCAATATCCACGAAATTCATCGACAGTTCCTGGTTCATCTCATTGATCGATGAAATCGAATCAATGAATATAAGTCGCCTGAAAATTATGAAAATGATCAATTGTATATAATGATTCCGGAACGACCATCGGTATTATGATGGTCTGTTCCTACAGATAAAAATGAGAAACATTTTTTTCAATCAAAATGCTCCCAAAGGGCTCTACTTCCATTTTAAAATAGGTCCCTAAATGCAATTCACGTCGATATTGTCCTTCTAGAATGACGGACTTTGATACCTTGAAGTAATTTGAGCCTATCAATCGTGTTGTAGTATCCCATCCTACAATATACAGGGATGTGTATTCCCTGAGATTTTTAGTTTCACAGTTTTCCTCATTTTTAGTACCAGAATATGAGCAAAATACACGAACAATCGTCCGGAATCATTTCGAATTCTTTTAGATATCAACAATAAAAATGTCACTTCTTTCAAGAATAGTTCATTTTACGTCATCATTTCAGGAGTATTTTGTATCTAAAACTGTTTGAAGAATCGTATTCCGTCTTACTAAAAATGAGATGGATCGTGAAGAAAAGTTGGGAATATTTCGTAGTTCCGTACCTCCCTGTATCTTGGATAATGTTTTTCGTACCACGAAACAATATGCGAGTTCAAATGAACCTCTGCTACAAAATTTTGTGTTTCTAGGGTCAGTTCATTGTAACGAAGATAATTGCAACTTTTTCAAGGACCTACTTTCAAAGGGCTGTTTTATCTTATTTTCATAATATGTGGATTCATCTCCCGGAATTTGGGACGTAGCACAGTCGAATCTATGAAAAATGAACGTAAAATATGGTGAAAGCGTAATTCACTTTTTGGCGAGAGCGAGGGGAAAATGATTATGAAGTTTTGGCGGAGACACTTCCATATTCCAGCATTCCTAAATGATTAAGAAATCTCATGTCTTCTGTGTTCAAAGATCTAATACCAGATACTAGGTAATGTCTAGAGACAGGCCAATTGAGACACTAAACCCAAAATGGCGAATGGAATCCAGCTCATGATTGAGAAAACTTGGGAAAACATTTTTCTACGCCAGGTTACATAATTATTACAGTATTGAAATTAGAAGTTGATAAAGACAAATGCTGGATGAATACTTGATTTCATCTCTCTGATTGATGATTTGTTCTTGTGAGTTATTTCCTTCAGACAACCCTTATAACATTTCTTGAGAACAATTTTTTTTCTAGTGTTTTATTCACAATTCAGGTCTACTGAATATTGAAGTAAACAACTAGGTTCCTGAATTATTACATTTATGTTGTTAGTTTTTTTTAGTAGGTATTTCATTGTAACTAAACCATCAAGTTCACTCACGTTTTTTGTACTGACTAGACACTTCAATTAATCGGAAGAAATTATGTATGAGTAAATTCAATATTTTTGGGATCAGATATTCTTATGATCTATATTATTGAAGCATATAATCGTTTTTAGTGATTTAAGGGTCACTAACTTTATCTACAAAAATAAGTTGCAAAAATTGGACCAAATAAACAATCTTCAAATAAGCATCTGACGGTTTATTGAAAATATGGTGGAACAGCAATTACATTATTGGCGGGAGCGCAATTGGGATTATGATATTTTGGCGGAGGCACTACCATACTCCAGCAATTCTAAATGAATAAGAGCTGTCTCTTGTGTCCAGAGATCTAATACCAAATACTACAAAATGAATTCCTTATGGGTGAGAAAACTTGGAAAAACATGAAGATATTCATAGAATTCTCAAAAACACGGCATTTTTACGTTTAACGATTTCAAATGATTCCAAATTAGTAATTGTCAAGTTTTGTGTACTTACGTTTATGACCCAATCTTTGGGATTATGTGCATTTGTTCCACACACATACAGTCTGTTTCCATCTCCCATCGACTGTATCACTCGTATGTGGTTGCGACAATCAAAATGCTGAAACAAAAAAATCTTATCACTTTGTGTGCCAAACTGAAATTATGATAATAATTATCAGATAGTTCATCAGGATTGAAGTAATTTCTGATATGATAAAAAAAATCATTGCATATTTGCCGCAAGTATATTATGTCTTTCCAACTGGTTATATCAACCTAATATTGACAGTATGGAATGAATATCATTTTTTCTGTGACGGAATACAACCTGGAGTTGGAATCTACTACTTTTTCTGCTTGTTTGATAAATTACTATTTATCTTTTTCTATTAAAATGGTTACTGAGATCCACATGCTGCTCATCCTCATCTTGGGCACATTGTATATTGCAGTCTATTCAACCACATGATGTATTCATGGAAGAGAAGAAGTCCACAAAGCTAGATATATACAGTGTGTCCCACTTACCATGCTCACCATGGGTATCTTTTTAACGGTGAGAGATACAAGGTCGGTTAAATGACACCAAATGTGGAGTTTGTCAGGGCCAACTATAATGTGAAAAATTATTTTGATAAAATCTATTCGTTTTTGTTTTATACGCAAAAAACAGATTTTGATCATTTTCATGTCTCCTCCGTAACTTCTTTATTTATGAAAATATTCGAATAGGAATTTCACATTCTCATGGCAGTTTTTCAAAGTGATTTTGAAAAAAATATGAAATTTATACCAACTCTTCTAGAATTTGAGATATCAGCACCAACTTTAGCTTTTCAAATGTAGGTCATAGCTCACTATGACTTAGTTACAAATAACTTTTTTTTCTCTTACAGATGATATGTCGCAGTAATAGTTTTGTGTTGATACAACGGAGTTATCGTCATCTATACAAAAACAAAGAATTATTTGAAAGCTGCCATCTTGAATTTATGAATTTTAACAAGAAAATCATGATCTCCGACCTCAGAAACCCACACCTACCAATTTTGAATGGAATCGGACCAAATCTTGTCCGCCATATTGGAGCAGCCATTTTTTTTTATTTCAACAAAAATTCCATAACTCCGATTGAATTGAAATTTGGCAGGTGTTCATAATTTCGGGGACAATACATTATGGAATTTTTGTTGAAATTAATAAAAATGGTTGCTCCAAGATGGCGGACAAGATTTGGTCCGATTCCATTCAAAATTGGTAGGTGGGGGTTTTTGAGGTCGGAGATCATGATTTTTTTGTTAAAATTCATAAATTCAAGATGACGGCTTCCAAATGATTCTTTGTTTTTGTATACATGGCGATAACTCCGTTGTATCAACACAAAACTATTACTGCGACATATCATCTGTAAGAGAAAAAAAAGTTATTTGTAACTAAGTCATATTGAGCTGTGACCTACATTTGAAAAACTAAAGTTGGGGCTGATATCTCAAATTCTAGGAGAGTTGGTATAAATTTCATATTTTTTTCGAAATCACTTTGAAAAACTGCCATGAGAATGTGAAATTCCTATTTGAATATTTTCATGAATAAAGAAGTTACGGAGGAGACATGAAAATGATCAAAATCTGTTTTTTGCGTATAAAACAAAAACGAATAGATTTTATCAAAATATTTTTTCACATTATAGTTGGCCCTGACAAACTCAACATTTGGTGTGATTCAACCGACCTTGTATCTCTCACCGTTAAAAAGATACCCATGGTGAGCATGGTAAGTGGGACACACTGTATGTACGAATAACTAAGTTGATTTTCCCAGAAGAAATTGTACTCATATGATTTGCGTTTGAGAATGAATTGCGTTTCATCAACTTTCTCTCGTAACTTTACATTTCTGGGTTTAAAATTCAATTTCGAAGTTGAGAGTTGGTCTTTCGATTATACTAAATTCAACCTCCCATATTAATGATTCGAGATACTTGATCTAGAGAAAAATTCAATCTCTGGAAATATCACAAAGATCCCTGAACAATACATGTACTCTTTATTAGTTGGATAGGCGTGTATCTTATTTTGTTAATACTGTGAGAAAACAACAAGTTCATCCCTTGTCCAGAAGAAAGAGGAAACTTGCAGAGGGTGCTGAATCAGAATTGCCGTTAATGTCGAACTGCATAAACGTTGAGAGAAAATCTCCCAACTATACTGATTGAAATAATTATTTTTTGTGGAATTCAGTGGGCATACTTCATAACATGAGCTATCGAGCAAGATATAGATAATTTGAATTCTGAAAGCTTCCGATTAAATACATGGACATCTGAATGTACTCAAACATTCAAGGTACTTTTTTATTAGTGACTCGAATATCCTCAAGAAGGGCTAGTCGCACATAGTCGCCTATACCCTATATTCCCTAAAAGAACAACGGAATCTGATTTTGTACTGTGTATCTATTTTATTTATTCATTTTATTTATTTATTTATTTACAAGTTTGAATACAGTATGAATATAAGAATATAATGAATATAATTAATATACACCATGTCTCAACACATAGGTACTCACTTAACAATTCCGATAAGGAAATGAGAAGAATAAAATCATGAAACGAAACAATAGGCTATAAGCTATCACGCAAAGACATCTTAAACTTATTGAATGAACATCTTAATACATCTGAATTATTTTTATTTATGAATCTTAATGTCCTTTCTATTGGATTATGCTGTCCATAATTCGTGACATGGAATGGTATTTGAAATAAATATGGAAATCTAAGGACTCTATTTGGGACATTTAACGTAATTAACTCCAGTAGTTCCGGACAGTTCACAGCACCATTCAATAATTTGAAGATAAAACATAAATCTAACTTGAGTCTTCTACTACGCAATGGAATTGAGTTAATTTCGTTCATAATATGCATATATTGATGGTTTTCCCAACGAATGTTCAATTTAAAGGCACAATACCTCAGAAATTTGTTCTGTACTCTCTCCATGGCTATATTATGAACCTGATAAAGAGGAGACCAGACAATAGATGCATAAGTCAGTTTAGAAATGACTAATGACATATAGACCTCCCTTATAGAATCCACTGAGAATTCAGAGCAATTACGAATAATCATTCCTAAAATCTTTGATGATTTCACTGAAATGGTGTTTGTGTGATTTACAAATCTCATTTGTTCATCAAAAGTGACCCCTAGATCTAGAACAGTTGGAACGTATCTGAGAGGACTATTGTTTATACAATATACAGTATCAAACTTCTTATAACCCTCGAAAAAGCTGATGAAACAACATTTATCGATATTTAGATGCAGATTAGTTTCCATACACCAATTATTCAATCTGTTTAAATCTTCTTGTAAATTGATTTGGTCAAATTTTGAATTTATTGTTCGAAATAATTTCAAATCGTCAGCAAATAATTGAAACTCTACGGCCTGTTAGGAAGCTTTTCAACTATTTCAAAAACCAATCAGAAAATCCAAAAGCTCCTAGTTTAGACAAAAGAATGGAATGATCTACTCTGTCAAATGCCTTAGAAAAATCAGTATAATTAGCGTCAACCTGATGTTTATTTTCCGAAGCATTTAGTATTTTGGTCTCATGAACTAGCAAGTTTGTGACAGTGGACTTGTTCCTTGAAAATTCATGCTGGTTACTGATCAACAGCTCTTTACAACAATAATTGAGTTGATCGGCAATTAAAGAGTCGAAAAGTTTTGGAATCACAGATTGGTTACAAACGCCCCGATAATTTTTGATATTTTCTCTGTCTCCGGATTTGAAAATTGGGATAATATAACTATCTTTCCAAGCATCAGGGTATATGCCCGTATCTAGTGAGAGCTTGAATAATACAAGTAACGCAGGAGTTAAGGAGCAAATACAGTATTTCAAAAACATATTTGGAATTCCATCTTCGAAGTAGCAACCTTCAGGGTTTCCACCGCGAGGAAAGAACAAGTTCATCCCTTGCCCAGAAAAAAGGAACTTTCAGGGGGTGTTGAATCAGAATGGCCGTTAACCTCCGACCGCAGAAATGCTGCCGACTATTCATTCCCCCAGGGGAGCGACTTCTTATACGAAAAGTCGAGAAAAAGTTAAGTTCCGACATCGCAAAAAGCCCTGATCGACCGATCCGTAGTGGAAATTGGCGCGTTATACGCTTCTGACCGCCAGGGACCAATTTTATTGGTAATCGACTCGGAATCTGAGGAAGTTTCCGCTCGGTCTATTGATGTTATGAGTATTGGCTCGATGTGAAACCTACGTTTATCTTTCTTTCATCGTCATATTGTGATCTGCCATTTTGATAAAGTGCCTGTGGAATTGTTCCTTTCAGCTTCTAAAGCGCGCTAAAGGAAATACTTATTATGTTCGTACGTTTCAAATAGGGAGGATGAATCTTTTATGAACGAAACAGTAATTTTCCTAACAAGTGCGGAAAGTGATACTTTTCCGCATGCCAATGCCGTTGACCCGAACGACGCGAAACGGAGTTCGAGCAAGCAGTCGAGTGCGGGAAAGACACTTTCCGGATGAGTTCGGAACAATATTTATTCTACAAGCGTAGGAAATTTATTGATTGGTTCAATCAATTATTCCTGCAAATAGAAAAAACTAACAATAGTGATAGATTCTTTAGCTCCTAATAATTAATGATATACACACACTGGCACAATTAGGGAAACGGGTAAAATTCACACTAAGTTTGACATCAATTTTCTCTCGAACCGATCACTCGATTCAAATTTGTTTTTCACGAATTGTAGCTTCTTTCTTCACGAATACATCTGATAAATAACCACCTCCAAATGATTCGTCTTTATATCATATACAGGGGTGTAAAGAAAGTACGGATTTTTTGGTATTCTTTAAGACATCCTGTGAAGTGAACCACTGATAATTGAAACGATTTTCCAACACCAAATTATAGCCCAATCTTTCCCGAAATTTTTTTGGTTTTCTATTCATCTTGATATCCCAATTATCCAAGAAAATATAGAGTTTCAAAGGAGAGGTGGATATTGGTATTAATTTTACCACCTCG